ACTCCACAAACCTGAAAGGGAAGGGCAATGTGGAGGACTTTCAGTAACCAAAGAAGAGTCCATGTGAATGAGAAAATCATCATGAGTTAAGACACTCTGGGTTGCCTCAGTTTCTGGTACCTTTAACAGTCATTCAATAATGTCTTTTGATTGGTTGATTAATGCATGGAAACTAATGGGGAAGCAAACATAAGTGGGATGAGGACAGGCTTCAACAGAGTACCTACTCTTGCCTCATAGCTTGCTTTCAGATTTCTGTGACCCGCTCATGCAGAAGAAGCTGAGCATTTCTCATGTTTGCTCAATGAGTGACAGCACTAAGTCAAGTTAGGCTAAGCAATGTTACTACAGGTAGCTGGCCACATTACTTCTAAATGAGCCACCATCTCAGTGTCCACAGAAAATTTTGTCCCCTGATAGGAGGTCTGTCTGTAAGAGAACTTCAGAAAAGAAGCACCTATACCCTCCCTTGGCCACTCCCTCCTGCAGACTTTCTCCCTGTGTCCTGTTCTGGGAGAACCTCGGGAGCGGATTGACTTCTAGGAACTCTCAGAGTGAATCCACTTTATCCTCTTCTCTCACCATCACCGTTCCCCAGCTGACTCAAAGGAAGCAGAGTAAAAGCCCTAAACAACTGGGTGAGGGTTTAGTATGAAGGAAGATTCTGGGGAGAAGCAGGCAAAAGGCCTTGACTGACCCAAGAACCCGTCTGATGACCAGGCACCGCAGTGAACTGGCCAGAGTGGAATCTGCAAACAATTTACCCATTCCTTGGGGAGCAGCCAGGCAACTGTGCCTCCTCTGGCAGTGCCTGTCAGTGTGGCCAGACTGGACTGCAAGATTAACCCACAGAGAGCAGGTAGAAAGAGATCAGGGAGTTGAACCACCACTGGGCAGGGGCGGGCAGAGGTTGGAGAGGGAGAACAGGAGAAGGCTGCTGCTGTGGGAATCCCAACTGGAAAGAGGTTTGGAGTGTTGTCTGAGAGCCAGCGGTGGCGATAAGAGAATGGGAGTGGAAGTGGTATGGGGTGAGATGGGGACAAGGACAGAGAAAACTATGAAGGAGGGCTAGGGAAGGCACGGGGCTGCAGGTACTTGTTGGACTGAGAGCAAGGATAGGACCATAGAGGAGAGCAGGGTCGTGAGGATAGAGTAGGGCTGGGAAATGGAGTGTGGGGCAGTACGTGGGAGATAGAAAGGAGCTTGGGGCTGAGCCCAGGCTGGGGATAGGACAGACGCCTGATGGCAGTTCAGTACTGGGAAACAGGATAGAAGTAGAAAACAGCGCCTTTACGAGAGAACCAGGGGCTCCAGGGAACGTATCAGAAGCTGGGGTGTAGAATCTAGGAGGACAAGAAAGGGTCAAGGGAAAGAACCTTGGTGAGGGCAGAGGTTAGGAAGGCAAGTCAAGTCTAAGGTACAGGGTCTTGAGGAAGGTAGGGCTGGAGGGCTGCACTACGGAGTGGAAGAGCTAGAAAGACGGATAGAGATACAAGGCCATGATGCGTGGAGTCGGGACTCAGGACTCTGTCACCACAGGGCTTGGACCTCAGCCCCATGCCCAGCCTCCCAGACATTTTAGCACATACCGCCACCTGTGAGCTGGAGCAGGAGAAGATGCGCTTCATGGCCGGGGCCGGGGCCACGGGGGGAACGGGGACGCGCGGAGAGCCGGGCCACAGGTTCCTGAACCCACAGGACTCGGCTGCAGCTGTGTTAGAGAGCTGTCAAATGCAGAACGGGATCCGCCCCAGACCCGCCCCAAAACCTACCGCGTTCAATCAGAGACTAGAACCCGAGGGCTGGGCTTAAAACTCCGCCCCTCACCCAGCCCTGCTCGGCCGCTGCGGAGGCAGAAGTCCTGCAGTCTCCGCCCGAGAAGTGGGCTTGGTGTCAAACCTCGCTCTCCCAAGCCTAACCCGCTCCCAGCTCTGACTTGCTCAATCCGAAAAGGGACGCCACCCGCTCCGGCTAAAACTCCTCCCCTGGCTCCGCCCCTCCCCGCAGCTCCACGCTGCGGTCCCGCCCTCAAGCCCTGCCTCGGGCCCGCCCCTCCGAGCACCAACACGAGATTCTCCGCAACTGCTCCGATCTTAGCAACTGTCGCGTTTAACCGCTCGTGACGACGGTCCGATTCTATCCAGAGACCTTTGCCAACTTAGTTACCTTTGCTTCCTCTCTCCATTCCGCAGCCCAAACCCAGGCACAAAAAAGGGTTTGAAGAGAGCGTTTTGGAAACGGCAGGAGATCGTGGTACCGAGTCAAGGACTGAGCAGGATGACCCACCGCAACCTGAAGAAGGGGGACCAGGTTTAATATTCTAACACATCTCTAAATTAGAAAAAGGCATAGGGAGAGGAAGGGTTTTTTTGTGTTTTTTAGCATCCCTTTCCACAAAAATGGGCTTCCCTGGTAGCTCAGACGGTGAAGCGTCTGCCTACAATGCGGGAGACCCAGGTTCGATCCCTGGGTCGGGAAGATCTCCTGGAGAAGGAAATGGCAACCCACTCCAGTATTCTTGCCTGGAAAATCCCATGGACTGAGGATCCTGGTAGGCTACAGTCCATGGGGTCGCAAAGAGTCGGACACGACTGAGCGACTTCACTTCACTTCCACAAAAATACTCACAAAACTGTCTTCACTATTTCCACTGCCCTTTAAATTCACATTCTTAGCAGTTCATGCTAGGTCAGTTGCAGCCAGTCTACCTGTCTCTTCTCCTTCATCCAAAGAGAGCACACTCAAGTGCATATGAAAGCCTACAGATTAAAGTTGAGTTCTCAGTGTGATTTACAAGGTTTATTAGGAGCCGCACCCTACCTTCTCAAGTCTCATCTCTCACTACTTTCACAAAAAGCCTGATGTTGAGGCTGTTCTAATCTACGACAGTTCCCTTTCCAACTGGTGATTAACCCTCCCTGGAATATCTCCTCTCACACTTGGTGGTCCTTCACACTTGGTGGCCCCTCAAGACACAAAACATTTTTTTCTGTAAACTTTTAAAGTTCTGCCAACCCCAACTAAAAAAAGTATGCCTCTTGTATGTGACACACTTCTTGTGTGCGACTATTGTCTAGCAACCAGCTCTCTGTATTTGCCATTTGTTTACATGCTTTTTTCCCCTACTAGACTGGGCTCATTGATGGTAGAAGTTGCATTTTATATTATTCCCATTGCCTAGAACATATTAGGTGCTTAACGTCTTATGAGTGAACAAAATAATGAATGAAGGAACAAAGGACCAACAATGAGAAGAAAGCAACACCTTTCTGTGGGTCTGAGGCAAGTCTGTTATTCTACAGTTGCTTCTCAAACTGGCTGTGCTTCAAAGGAAGAGATAACAGGCTTATAGAAAAATAGATTGAGGCTAGAGGAAGTCCCATCCTGGAGCTGAGCAGTAGGGAGGAGCGGGATCTCTAGGTGGAGAAAAATATTAATCATGTGGAGAGAGAATGCGATGAACCAGTCTTTGAGGATATCCATCTCCCTTTGTGGGCTGACTCGGGATAAGGAGGGGGAATCTGTCAACATAACCATGGCCTCAGTCCCTGACCCAGAAACAGTGTGCTCCATAAAGGTTGATGAAATGATAGCCTATGTGCTGAGGGCCACCATGGATCCTCCAGGTACAAAATAACACCAGCTTGCCACAGAATGATTGTCCCTGCCTAATAAGCTAGAAAGGCCACTATTCTCAGGGTTAGGCAACAAAGGCAGAGACATGGTCTCTAGAAGCCCATTGCTGAAGCACCCATGTCCCTTGAGGATAATAGAAGAACCCTGGGTGTCTAAAGAAATCTAATCAATCAGATTTCTACCTTTAGAGCCTTAAGTTAATCACCTAATTATCGTCTTTCTGGGCTTGAGGGCTTATATCAAAGGGGATGAGGCATAGGGTAAGATTTAGTGGCAGGAGATAATAACACATAGGAAAACAAATCTTGAGAGTCTGTGAAGAGCAGGCAAGTCACCAGATCATGAGCATCACTTGGTGCTTCAATATAGCTCCTCAGTCCTCACAATGCAGGTTATGTAGGGTAGGTTTTCTTATAACAAATTATTTTTATAACAGTAGTTACCATTTATTGAGTACTTACTATATGTTCACTTTACTTCAATTACCTCATTTAGTCCTCACAATCCTAATACATTTATTTTTAAATATTTGGCTGAGCTGTGTCTTAACTGTGACTTGCAGGATCTTCAATCCTCATAGCAGCATGTGGGATCTTTACTTGTAGCATGTAGGATCTAGTTCCCTGACCAGGGATTGAACCTTGGCTCCCTGCAATGTGAGCATGGAGTCTTAGCCACTGAACCACCAGGGAAGTCTGAACCTTAATAAGTTTAAAGTCAAGAAAGTCAAGACTTAGAGAAGTTAAATCTGTTCAATGTCCAACAGGTTTTATGTGGTATGTTGTTTAGTTGATCAATCATGTCCAACTCTTTTGCAACCTCATATTCTGTAACCCTCCAGGCTCCTCTATCCATGGGATTTCTCAGGCAAGAATACTGGAGTGGGTTGCCATTTCCTTCTCCAGGGGATCATCCTGGGCTAGGGCTCGAGTCCGCATCTCCTGCGTTCGCAGATGAGTTCTTTCCCACTGAGCCACCAGGGAAGCCCTTCAAGTGGTATAGCTTAAACTCAAGTCTGTCTTCATTCTTAACCACTGTTCTACACAACCTCTTAATCTGAACCTCAGGGTAGTCATGGCTTGCCCAAAGCCATATAGCTCATAAATGGCAGACCTGGAATTTCTCTAGGCCTATGTGCTTACCAAACCAAACCTACACATTTTACACTCTATGCTCACGTAAACAGGTGAGGATTGCAGGAGGCTAGGGCATATCTCCAGTAGGAGAGTCACAGAAATCACTTCAAATCCTTCATAACTTCATCTTCCAGGGACTCAACTGTATAGGGTCTCAGGTGAATCAAGGCTCCACCTCTCACAATTTGTGAGCAGTCTATATCCCAGGGAACTCAAGAAGAACCAGAAGTCATTTGATACTGAACTTCATTTGTTCTGACCATCTGATAAACTGTCCACCCTATTAGAAAACAGAGACAATGCTGTCTGTACAAGGTCAGAGACAAGTCAAAATAAACTCTCTGACCAGATCTCAAGAACAGCCCTGGAGGAGAATCTGTGGCTACTAGTCAATTGCCCAGCCAAGTCCCCTCTCTCCTTGGCTGTAAATGGGTGTTGATTCTTCAAGTGGCTGTCAGAGCTGCTCTCTGGAAACCAATATCTGACTTTGGTATCCAGAGTCTTGGTTACAAAGAACTGAAAGTTACCCAGTTGTCAAGGAGAATCCATTCCTCTTTACTGGCCATGACCAAAAAGTGAGAGTTGGGGGTGAGGGGATGGAGGGTGGGGGTTGTTCAGAGATAGAAATTAACTTGGGAATTTCCAGTAAACATTAGGCAAGGGCTGGCAAACTGATGCCACCAGAGAATCCTCACAAGATGGCTGGAGATGCCCCAGGAATATTTCGTAGGAGCTATTTGTGCTATATAACCAGTGCCAAGCAAGTAAGGGCTTGCTTCCCAGAGACCTCTTGCCACCTTCTTCAGCTTCTTCCTTAATTCAGACCCCACTTGTTCAGACCCCTTGGTGCTTCTGCCTCCCAAATCTAGTAAGGTGAAAGGGTTTCGCACCATCAAGCAGCAATCCTCTCCCTTCTCTCTAGTTTCTATAAGGAGGCTCCAAGGAGGGCTTAAGAGGGTGTGTGGCCTGAGAAGAAAAAACTGCCTGGGGCATCCAGTCTTTCCTGTTATTCCAGCTCCAGCCACATGGGGGCCCCTGGCTCCAGAGAATCCGGCGCCCAGCCCTGGCTTTGCTCCCAGGGAAGGCTGCCGAGCTGGGACACCCTTGCCCAGCAGGCCTGGAGCAGTTCCCTTTCACCAGCACCTGAGGGCGGGCGAGCGCGGGCGAGTGCACCACGAAAGTCTCGGGTTTCAGGGGGAATGGCAGTTGCCTGTCTAAAGGCTTCTCTGTTTCTTGGAATTGTACAGAATGTCTCTTGTGGCTTTTCCTCCTCCCTCCTTTTTTCCTGTTGACTCTCCCCATCCGGCCCTCTGAATCACCAGACTCCACAGGAAAGCAGCAGATGTTGACTTTACTTCATGCAAGCCAACGTCAGCGCTCTCCTGTGGAGTGGGGAGAAGGCAGGAAGGTGAGAGGTGGGGGAATGGTGGAAGATAACCCTCGTCCTTTCCAGTGGGGGAATCTGAAAGAACTCAAGGACCTAGGCAAAAAAAAAAAAAATGCTTGATTCCCAGGGACAGGGGAAAAAAGGGGCCCTACACTAAGGCCCCAGAGTAAGCTCTGGAGCCAGGATCACACGGAGGGAAGCACAGGGTGGGAATGTTCCTGGTTTTAGTGCCAGCCCTTCTTGTCTGAGGTGAGGCCTCATCTCTTGCCAGCAGCATCCTCATGACTCAAAAGTCAAGTCAGGCTGCAGGTCGGGGGAGACAGTCCAGAGGCTTTCTTCCTCTTGCACCATCTGAGCCCCCAAACTTCTGCTCTTAGGCAAGTCTTTTGGAGAAGCTGCAAGAGAGGTCTTTATGGACTTTATTCTACATTCATTGCTCCAATTTCTCTTCTCTTTTTTCTCCCTCAGGGATTTTCTTCCGGGCAAAGAAGCCAAGCTGTAGGGAAAGAGATAAGGGTCATCACCAAATGCCCTGCCTGGGGACCCTGCCAAAGGCCCTTAGAGATATCTGAAGCCTTCAGTTTGTTCTGCTTCCAAAAATGAGATTCAAATTTATTTTATTTGACTTTGGCTTAATTCAACTAAGATTCGTGAAGGAGATCTGGAGACACCCACAGCCTGCTTAGTTGCCCAGCACAAACCCAGTTTTCCTTGCTGTAATGAAGGATACCTTAACTCATGGGCACCATGCCCCACACTGTCCACTACAGCAGTGCTTACCTTCTGTCCACTACAGCAGTGCTTACCTTCCAAAGGCAGAAAACAAGCAGAGCAAGCAGGAGCAGCCCTCCCAGGACACTGCCAATGAGGATCCACAGAGAAATGAGGACAGGGCGGGACTGAATCACCTCCAGGAGGCTCTGCATAGAGAGGAGAGCTGGTTTTTACTTGCACCCTTTTGCTCAATTAGCTTCACCCCACACTGTAGCAAACTCAGCCCCCAAACAGAAGAATAAAAAAGAAACTGAGGTCAGAATGGAGGCAGGGGGATTCACCATTCTGATTGATCGCTTCTGACTCCCTGAATGCTGCCTAATGAAGACACCCCTGTTGTGAACAAGCTCATGGGTGCCCTGATGCTATCGCCACCCTTACTAGTTTCACAGCTCTCAAACTCAGTCTCCAGCCCTACCTCACTCCACCGGGAGGCTTCAGTCAGCAGTAGGACGCTGCCCTCTTCAGTGCCCAGTTCGAAGGTACTGACTACTGTCAGAGACTTGAATTTGGCCTGTGGGATGGAAAGAGATTTAAAGTGAGCCATGAAAAAAAAAATTTCTTTAATAAATAAGTAAATAAAAATTAAAAAAATAAAATAAAGTGAGCCATGATTGGCCTCACTGGTGGCTCAGCAGTAAAGAACCCGCCTGCCAATGCAGGAGACTGGGGTTCGATTCCTGGTTCTGGAAGATCCCCTAGAGAAGAAAATGGTAACCCACTCTAGTATTCTTGCCTGGGAAATCCCATGGACAGAGGAGCCTGACAGGCTATAGTCCATGGGGTTGCAAAAAAGTCAGACACGACTTAGCGACTAACAACAACAAATACATCATCAGGTGGAACAGGTCTCAGGACCTTAATGGCAAAGATGAGGCTGGGGGGATAACTTCCAGGACCCTCAAGACCAGAAGAAAAGGTTGGAGAGCGATAGGGAAAGAGAAGAAGGGTAACAGATGGAAAGCCTGTGGCCCTTCATAGACTCCACATGCTCTACTCCTCAGGAAGTGCATTCAACTCCTCTCTTTTTGGCTAACTCCCACCCTTCCTTCAGGTTGAAGTTTAGATGTCATCCCCTCTGGGAAGTAAAAAGGTGTTTCCTCCTAATCCCCATCACCCAAGACTAGATTATAATATTCTGTTTATTTCTCTTTCACCTCTGTTGAACAATAAGATCCTTGAGGTCAAGCGTTAGTAACTTACGTGTCCCTACTGCCTAGCACAACTTCTCAATAAACCTTTGTTAAAAGAGTAAATAAATGAATGAAAAAAGGATACCAAAGAGAGATAAAGAGAGAACCGGACTTAGGGAAGGATGGTATGTCAGACTTAACTTTCCTGAAAAATGCCTGCATCCCAGGGATCTTATATTATTCAAAGTAGATGGCACATAGGAAAGTACAATATAAACTCCTAGTACTAAACAGCTGTTATAATTAAGATATCATTGCCCTGCTAAGGAACTCACACTGACTCCTGACTGCCTATCATGTTAAATTCAACTCCTCAGCTTTAAAGAATTTCATAATTTAGATCCCTTTCACTATACAATATCACTTCCCACTAACCTCCATGCATATCCTACATGTAATATCAACTCTTTACTGGTTCATTTAATAAAATTATATTAAATCACTATAATGAGTTAACTAGACATGCTCAGTCGTGTCTGACTCTTTGCAACTCCATGGACTGTAGCCTGCCAGGCTCCTCTGTCCATGGAATTTTCCAGGCAAGGATACCGGAATGGGTTGCCATTTCCTTTTCCAGGAGATCTTCCCAACCCAGGGATCAAACCCGCATATATTACGTCTCCTGCATTGGCAGGCAGGTTCTTTACCTGGGAACCTTTTACTAGTGTCATCTGGGAAGCCATGATGCTAAATGTTGGGTGTATTCTCCTTAGTCACAGGGGAGTATATATATAACACAGGGCCTTTTATATAGAAGGCATTTGATGGATTGATTGAATTTAGGTATCCTATATACCTTAGTGATAATAACACTAAGGGATGATAAATGGAGGATAATACAATAACAGTAACTAGCTTTGAGTGAGTGCATCTCCTTAGTTTGTTCTTTACAACAACTTCATGAAGTAGATATTTTCTTCCTTATTTTACAGATGAGGAGAAAGAAGCTTAGAAAAATGAAATAACATTGCTAGTAGGAGGCAAAGCTCAAACTTGAACATGAATCTGTCTCCAAAATGCCTACGCTAAAGTCCCAGAGAGCAGCAGCAGGGGAGAGTAGTAGAAAAGGAAAAGTTTACCCTCCGGAAAAATTCATTGTGAACCAGCCTCAGGAGTCCAACAGAGATCTCGGTCCCCTTTGCCAGCCGCCCCAGGTGGCACCTCACAACCTGGCAGCGGGTATTACTCTCATTCTACCGGAAGAGAGAGACTGATCAGGACCCTGGAGGAGGAACAATCCCCATGCCCCACTCCGGGCTCTACCTTCCACCCCAAAGCTCTGAACTCCACTGCTCCTCCCTGCATTCCTGCTCTGGACACCTTCCTCACCCCTCTGTGACTCATACCAGCCTGCTTGTGTGCTGAAGCTCCTCTGGATGCACCGGGGGCCCTGGGGGTTCGGTCAGGTTCTGCACTGTGCAGCTTGCCTAGAGGAAGAGCCAACTTGAGGGGTCCCCTGGATGGTGAGAGGCCGGCCCCTCCAGGCTGAGCAGGAGCACACCACCCACACTCTTGAAGTTCTTCCCTGGGTAATCCCTTTCTTTCTTCTCAAAGAAGGTACATATGGAAAAGAAAGCACCCCACCACCCCAGAGAGGGAGGATCCCTGCAAGCAGAGACCCAGCAGATGAGGAGCTGGGTGAGTTCACCAGATCAAGGTGGCAGGGTTCCACAGGCCCCCAGGCCAGACTCACATTGTTAGTGATGACTTGAGACAGTGACAGGAAGTAGTTGCCCCCATAGGCCACAGCTGGAAGGAGGGCTGAGATGATGAGGCCACTGACCACATAGCAGCCAAGGTTCTGAACCTAAAGGGAGGATTGGAAAAGGAAGGGGTGAGAGACAGAGAAAGACCCTTCCTCACCTGTTCCACTTTACCCTCGAGGCCACTGAAATCTAAGAGAGACCCTTCCCATCCTTTTCCCAGGACTCCTCTCCATCCCTCTGCTCATGCCAAGGCCCCTCTGGCTTCTCACCCTAAGAGTGGTTTTGAATTCGGGGCCAGGGCCCACTGGGAGGGTTCCATAGGGGTGGACCTCATAGCGGTGCAGAGTGGACTCGCTGCGTGGACACCAAGTCAGGAGGTGTATGGTCACAGCCGTGACACAGAAACACAGGCATATGATCAGCACACAGACAGATTCATGGTAGGAAGGGCCAGCACATGAATAAAGATATGGGGGTACACAACGAAGACAGAAATGAAATATGACACAGACTTGGCATAAACTTTATGGCCATATCCCATCACCCCAGCTCCAACCCCCAGGGCCCAGCAAAGCCCTACAACTAGGATGTATAGGTGTACCCATACCTAGGAAAGAGAAATGCTTAAAAGGGAAGGTTCAGCATGAGTGGGATTAAGGCCAAAAAGATGGGGCAACCCCAAGGGTTTGCTGTTCAGAAACACTGAAGCACATGGAGGGAGAGGGAGTGAACATAAAGAGGACGAGTCTGGGGTCAGAATGGGGTCCCAGTGAGGAGCTAAGCCATACCTGGAGAATAGGAGGTGAGGCTCATACTGAATGTAGGCTGAGGTCTGGGCTGTGTTATCTCGAAGCGTTCCATTTCTCTCCAGGCTACTGCTGTAGGGTCAAGGGGAAGGCTCACATCCCAGCCCTGTCTCAGACACCCTTCTCTGGAGTGAAGGAGTCATGCTGCTTCCACCCCACCCTCACGCCCACACCACCACCATCAAGACCTAACAGGAGAGGGCTGGGAGCAGATGCCCACTCCTCTCACCTGGTGGCTGTCAGCCTCACAAGGACCTGGCTCAGGAGGAAGGAGCAGCTAAACTCAAACTCTAGCAGGAAGGTCACCTAAGGGCAAGGGACACGGGGACATGGTAGGTTTCTCTTCATGGGACAACTAGAGAGGAATGTAGCCTCTGTGAGCCTCCTTCCCTAAACTCCCAGGCCCCGCAGATTCCAGCCCCTGATCTCTCAAAGCCCCCTTCTCATCCTGGGCCCCGACTCACCTTGGCTCCCATCTGGAAGACAGGATGCCCCACGCTGCAGAGCCGGGCATGCGGGGAGGGGGCTGCACACTCCACCTTCACTGGGCTGTTGCTCTGAGAACAGAGGAAGCAGGCTGTGCTGGGGCTGCGACTGCCCTCTTGCCTGTGGCCTCCAAACACAGCCTTTCCCAGAGGCCCTCAGAGCCAGCACTCCAATTGGCTTCCTCCTTCCCTGATTCCCCTGAACTCCCTTCCCCAAGGGCACCTGAGGAGTGAAACTGGACAGGTGGAGGTTTCTGGAGAAGCCAAGACTCAGGCTAGTGTTGTAGGCATTCTCCTTCTTGTTCTCCAGAGTTGCTGACACCAGCACTTTCCGCCGGCCACCTCGAACCACGAACGGGTCCTTCCTAGGAGTGGTGGATAAAGGACAGCCCAGAGTTGAAGGAGAGCCAGAAGCCTCACTTCTGTTTTCCTGGGCAGAAACAGCCCTCCATCTCCCTTGAAGTCCCTTCAGGTCTGTCTCAAGTCAGCCCGGTTTGGCCCGTTCATGTCCATCCCACCTGGAGCCTCTGATGTCCATATTAGCTTGAAGTACTAAATCTGTGACACATTCATTGTCAGGGCCACAGTCCTTGGAGAAGGGGACCTAGAGGAGAGAGGGGGTGCTGAGGACTGAGAGGAAGGCAAGGGAAAAAGAAATGGGATTGGAGGACATGTGAAAAGAGAAGAGTGGGTGCCTAGGTCAGATTCCACTGTGATCTCATGTCTGCCCCCACCCCTTTCTCCTGAATTCACTGAGAATCGCAATGTGGCGACGAAAGGGCGGGGACAGACAGGGCTTGGCACTGCTGACCAGCTTTCGGATGGAGGTGGGTGAGCCCTCATCCAGCACGGGCCCTGGCTTTGTGGTGTTGTCCAAAGCAAAGGTCACAGTCAAGGACACTGGCCGGAGGTAATCTGAAGTATCCTGAGAGAAACCAGAGTGAAGGATCATGGGGAACCAGGGTAAGGGAGACGACCCAGGAATCTTGGTAGAATGTGGCAATTACACTGATCATTTACTGAGCATTTCCTGTGTGCTAGGTACTGTCCTAAGGTTTTATCAATACTATTACATTTAATTCTAAGACAACTCCTATAACATTGTTATTAATCTCCCCTTTTCAGGCAAAGAAACTAAGGTTTGCAGGTGATGTGACTTGCCAGAATGCACAGGTGCTAAATGGCAGAGCAGGATTCAAACCCAGATCAGCCTGCCTCCAAAGTCTGAACTCTCTCACTTTTCCCACTTCGGCTTTCTTGCCGATCCAACAGAATCTTCTTCTCTGATTCAGCCTTCCTCTAGCTCCCAGGCCCTGATGCCAAGCAGTTCCTGCCCCCTCCTCACCAGCACGTGGAAGTGCAGTTGCTCACAAGTTATGTTCCCCACACTGAGCCGGAGCCGCCGAGGGGACAGCCTCTGGCCAGAGCCATCAAATGCTGCCCGGGCTGCAGTTGTCCACTCGTCCAGCGATGCTGTGAACCGCACATCTGAATGGGGTGGGCAAGAGTGCAGGTAGAGAGGGGTCCTGAGACTAGGGCAGGGAGGGGTTGGACTGCTGCCCAGGGCGCACCCTAGTCACTCACAGAATCGGCGATCCCAGCGGCCGGGAGTGCGGGAGGTCACTTGGAAGCAAAGGGCTGCGGACAGGCAGGTTGCCTCCTGGCCTCGCCGCTTACAGTCCCTCTGAACCACGCTGATGGCCGGCGGGGTCACATCTAGTGAAGGGGCCAGGCGGACAATGGGCCGGGAGCTGGAAACAGGGTGGGAAAGAAAGTCTAGCCACGGGAAGAAGCCCTTAGAGAAAGGCAATCCCCAGTATTTGCCTCCCTGAGATCAAAGGAAAGAATAAGGAGCTGGGCTGACACATGAGTCACCCTCCCCTGAACCTTTGGACAGAAGTAAGCTAATAGCTGATATTCAATAAGCACTTGCCATGTGCTCTAGGCACGGTGTTTAGATCTTTGTGCGGATTATCATATTTAATCCTCACCACAAGCCTATAAGGCAGGTATAGTTATTATTCCCATTTTATAAAGTAGGAGAATGGTAGCACAGAGTAAGTTGATCAAGAAGCCAGATGTAAGTCTGTAACTCCAAAGCCCTTGCTTTTAACAGCTGTGCCATGTTGTCCACTGCTGCCTGAGCTGGGACTGCTCACCTGAGCAGGATGGCTGCCCCTTGGGCACCCACGGCCACATCAACCAGGTCATCACCATCTAGATCCAGCCGGCCATCCACACTTCGGCCAAAGTAGCTGAGGGCCTGAGGCATGGAGACAGCGGCAATCCGCTGAGAGGGAGAGAGGAGAGACTGAGCAGGGACTCACACACCTGGTTTCTGAGGCCTCCCGTCTGGCTTTTTCTAATTCTCCCCTCAAGCATGAGGCTGCTGCTACTGCTGCTAAGTTGCTTCAGTCATGTCCGACTCTGTGCGACCCCATAGACAGCAGCCCACCAGGCTCCCCCATCCCTGGGATTCTCCAGGCAAGAACACTGGAGTAGGTTGCCATTTCCTTCTCCAATGCATGAAAGTGAAAAGTGAAAGTGAAGTCGCTCAGTCATGTCCGACTCCCAGTGATCCCATGGACTGCAGCCTACCAGGCTCCTCCATCCATGGGGTTTTCCAGGCAAGCGTACTGGAGTGGGTTGCCATTGCCTTCACCGCAAGCATGAGGAGGAAGGAGAAAAACCTGTGTGTGTTCAGGAGTCCCTAGTACAGCAAATGTTTCCTGCCCCCATCACTTCACCTCTTTGACTACTGATTAAAAAAACAAAGGCATTTGTTGGACTTCCCAGGTGCATAAGACTCCACCTGCCAATGCAGGGGACATGGGTTCAATCCCTAGTCCGGGAAGATTCCACCTGCTGCAGAGCAACTGACCCCATGTGCCACAACTACTGAGCCTGCGCTCTAGAGCCCGAGGGTCACAACTACTGAGCCCTCATGCTGCAACTACGGAAGCCTGCACTCTCGGACCTGTGAGCCACAGCTACTGAAGCCTGAGAGCCTAGAGCCCCTGCTCCACAACAAGAGAAACCACCGCGGTCAGAAGGCCGAGCACCTAAACAAAGAGTAGCCTCCACTCACCACTAGAGAAAGCCCTTATAAAAGCAACAGACTCAGCCCAGCCAAAAATAAATAAATAAAAATAAACAATAAAAAAAAAGCACTTGTTCAGCTTGGGTCTCAAGCCCAGGGGAACGATGATAAGAAAAGGGTGTGTACCCCCTTCCCCCCACCATGCCCCTACTTCACTGGGGCTTTTCTGACCTGTGCAGGACGCGGCCGGACTCCTCTCTGGGCCCCGTGATAGAGGTACAGGGCTCCATGGTGCCCATCCTCCAGGGGCGCCCCCACAGCCACATCAGCAAAACCATCTTGGTTCAAATCAGGAAGAGCACTCATGGCAAAGCCAAACCGAGCATCCTGGGGGATTTCTGGCTGAAGTGTTCTCTGGAGTGTCAGCAAGGATGGCTGGTGGCGGTGAGGAGAAGGCCGAAGGTGCTGATCAGAGTCCCGACTTGTCGGCCAGCCCTCAAATGTGTGTGCCTCCCCTCCCCCCTCTGCCCCCTAAAGACAAGTTCTAGGGCATCCCAGCAAGGCTCACCTGGCCCACTAGATACACATAAACGCGTCCTGTCTCCTTGTTCTGGGGCCCCAGGAACATGGGGGCAGCCACAAGTAAGACATCAGTTGTTCCATCCCCGTCGATGTCCAATGGGCAGAGTTCGCTGCCAAAGTATGAGCCAATCTGGAGAGTGGTGGGCAGTGGTGATCCCAGGGGAAAGGGAAGGCAAGATTATGGACAAGTGGGAAGCACCTGCTGATCTGGCCCTCACATCCCTGACAACCAGAATTCATCACACATTTCTAAGGCCCCTCTCTTGCCCCTTCACCATCTTCCCACAGCCTGGCATCCCTCCCCCAGCAGCCTGGAGTCCCTGGGGACCCAACCTTGGATGCCCTACCTGCTCCCCCTGGAGGCTCTGGGCGACCCTCACAGCCCCATCTTTCTTAAGTTGGAAGGCGATGACCTTTCCTCGATGCCTAAACCGAGGAGCCCCTGAGAGAAAGAGGCGGCGACCACCCCGCAAAAACATGGAGGAAACAGAGTAACCTAGAAGTGGACAAGGAATCAGGGGTGAAGGGAAAGAAAATGGGGTCAGAGTAGGAGGGTTCCCTAAAGGCACAGAAGGGGGTCTCAAGGAAAGTAGCAGATCAGTGAGAAACTGCATGAGTTAGCAGTGAGTACCTGATAGCCCCCACTGGGGAAGCATTTTCCGCCACACTCTAGTCCTTTGCAGCTCTCTGCTACTCACCCAGGTAGGCGGCATGGTTCTGCAATGCAGGGGGGAATTCATCTTCCAGGGCTGTCCGTGGTGGGAAGAGGCGGCGACCTTCTTCAAGCCATAACACTGAGCCCCCCCAGTCATAAGCCCCCACCATTCCAAAGAGAATCCCATCCTGTAGGGCAGAACCAGATTGGGTCATTGAGAAGACAGTGGGGAATAAGAAGAAAAAACTCTCCAGGAGTGAGAGGGTCACTGAGGGCAGACTGGGGTTGGTTGGAAAGGCATGGGAAGGTCAGCATGGACGTTAGTTAAAGGGGCAGTGTAGAAGAGCACTGGGATTGAAGTTGTCTGAGTTAGAGGCTGGAAGGAGTCAGATGTTGAGAGGGGTCATGGGGGTGGTCAGAGTCTGTCCAACCTTTAGCTGATGAGTAGAGAAACCAATCTGAGACATTTCCAGCCCAAAGGAGCTTTCATTTTCTCCATGGGACCCTGGAGTGTAAGAAAACATTGAGGCAATATAATGGAAGATGGTTCCCCCTTTGACCTAATAAACTTTTTCCAGGACTCCACCTATACCCCAGAACTCCCCCTGCCCTGTCCTCTTTTTCTCCAGAGTAATCATTACCCTCAAGGCCAAAAATCCGGTCCCCTAATGCATCCACAATGTCAGTCAGTGCTGCTTCATCTGTGACATTGAAGAAGAATTTCTCGTCTGGATCACTGGCAATAGCTCTGATTTCTCGCAGGAAAGAACTGGGGTCTCGCTGCCGCCGGAGGTAGTGACCAAGGACCTGGGGTCAGGAGATCAAGGTGGGGTGTGTTAGTTGTATGTTGTGAGTGGTCTGGGAAGTTATCAATATCCATTTTCCTTAAGTTCCCAGTCCTCAGTGTCACCATCCCCACCCCCTCCCTTTCTTCCAGATCCAGAGTTGATTCTCACCGCAATCCCATAGCGTGTCACTCTTCCGGCCTCACAGGCCTGCAGTGCTGTGGGAAGCTCCTCTCCGTCGTGGGACTCCCCATCAGTGACAACCACCAGTAGCCTGGCAGCCTCTGGTCGGCCCCCACGGGACTGGCTGAATCCTTCTGTACTGAGAAGAGAAACAAAAGAGTGAGGTGTGATCAGATGTGTGCAGATAGATACACATACCCAGTACTTAACACTGTCAGCTGTTCACTGAGGTCAGACCTTTTGCCTTTTAGCCCATTTCCCCAAATGTCTAGCATAGAGACTGGCATACAGTAATAAAAGCTCGTGTCAGGGTATCCTATAACATACAGAGCAGCATATCATCAATGCAAATAAGTATAAAATCCATCCACTCATAGATTCATTCAGCAAATATTGTATTTAGGGGGATAAATATTAAGGGTGAGGGGAAAAAAGTGAAAGTGTTAGTCGCAGCCAAATCTTTGGACCCCATGGAATATGTAGCCTGCCTTTCAGCCTCCTCTGTCCATGGAGTTCTCCAAGCAAGAATACTGGAGTGGGTTGCCATTCTCTTCTTCAGGGGATCTTCCCAACCCAGGGAATGAACCCAGGTCTCCTGCATTGCAGGCAGATTCTTTACCAGCTGAGCCACCAGTATGTAGAATAAAAAATGGTCAGGTCAGGGGAGTCTTCCCAGAGATGAGTTTTGCAGAGTTAGGAAAATGGGTGAGAACATGAGCGGTGGAGAACCCAAGGGCCAACATCAAAGTGGGAGTGAATGGGCTTCCCTGGTGGTTCAGTGATTGAGAATCCACCTGCCAATACAAGGGACACAGGTTTGATCCCTGGTCCAGGAAGGTTCCACATGCCACAGAGCAGCTAAGCCGATAAGCCACAACTATTGAGTCTGTGCTCCAGAGCTCTTGAGCTGCAACTACTGAAGCCCAAGAGCCCTACAGTCCGTGCTCCACAAGAGAAGTAACCACAGTGAGAAGCCCATGCACTGCAACGAAGAGTAGCGCCTGCTTGCTGCAACTAGAGAAAGCCTGCACGTGGCAACAAAGACCCAGAGCAGCCAAAGATCAATCAATCAATCAATCAATAAACAAATAGCAAATAAATCTGTTTTTAAAAAAGGGGGAATGGAGGTATACAGACAGAATTCCATCTGCAGACATAAAGCAGAAACATGGAGAGACATAGACAGACACTTTGTAGAAAGGCAATGAGGAATGCAAATGATGGGCAATTTAGACTCACCCCACCCACCATTAGCATGGAAGCAAACATAAGCAAGCAACACATGTCGGAATGTACACACTGCACTCCAAACCTTCCCCTAGCCCTTCTGGCCTCCCAAACTCCCCTTCCCAGTGTCTCACCAGGCCATCATTATTGCTTGAGCAGTCTTTGTTTCTCGTCCCTCTCGCCGGCTCAGGTTCCTTGCCGCTCTCACCACTTCTTCCTTGGTTCGGAAATCTCCCAGGGACCACTCATGGACAGAGCTCTCTCCATATTGTACTAGTCCCACCTGAGAATAAAGTGTGCATGCTAACGGAGTGTGTGTAATGGGCAGGGGGCGGAAGAAGGAAGTATGTGAGGGAGGGGAGATGAGCACCTGGATGCTACTGAAGAAACTGCCTACATTCATCTTCTCTCTCCCTGATTCTTCCCTCCATGCCCACCCATCCTGCCTTCTCTTACCTGTATCTGTTCCGGGTCAATAAACAGTCTCCCTACCAGTCTTCGTAGGAAGGTCTGAACTTCAGACCATGGATAGATGCTGTTGGAGCCATCCAAGACAATGACGACATCCATGTATGTGGGGCAGCCTAAGAGAAGGGGTGATGGTGATGGGGAACAGAGGGCAAAGGATATTGGGCACGGGGGCAACAAGGAAAGAAGTCACAGAAAATTGTTAGTCGTTCAATAGTGTTTGACTCTTGGTGACCCCATAGACTATAGCCCACCAGGCTTCTTTGTCCATGGGATTTCCTAGACAAGAATACTGGAATGGGTTGCCATTTCCTTTTCCAGGGGATCTTCCTGACCCGGGGATTGAACCCACGTCTCCTGCATGCAGGAGTTCTTTACCACTGGCAGGCAGATTCTTTACCACTGTGTCACAGGAGGGCACATTTAATTCAAACTATTAGGCACTTCTTACATACAGGGAAGATTACCCAGTCCTAGGTAAATACAGAACTGAATAAAAGAGAAGATGGGAATACATACAATTGACTCAAAAACAACGAAGAGGGAATTAAGCACAAGTGGAAACTTAGCACCATTTTATGTTGTGAGAGAACAATAGAGGATCAGTTCTGATGGTGGGGGATAAAAGGAGGCAGCAACTGAGAAAATACTGAAGACTGGAGATGTTTGAAGAGAACATAAGGAAAGGCATTTGGGTGGAGAACACTTTATTTTTTTATTTTTTTATTTTTTTTTGAGAACACTTTAAATAAAAGGAGATGGAGGTATAAAAACAGATGACATACACAAGAAAAGTGAGGTGAAGGCTATAGCCAAAGTGTAGGGTATGGAGGGATATAGTGAGAGTTGAGTTCTGAAGTTGGTTAAATCAGTTTGGACACAACTGAGTGACTGAATAAATCAGTTCATGCAGTCTTGATGCCCTGGTAAAGAGTCTGAATTCTTATCTGTTAGGAAACATGGAGCCTTCGCAGACACGTTAGGTCACAGTGAGGATAGCCATGCAGGTCCCTGGTCAAGCATCATACACTGAGGCCCCATCTTTTTCCCACCCTGCACCCCCTATTCTGGGGACTTGGGCCCTTCTCCTGGCTCACGTTGTGCGGTGGGTGCCAGGCTTCCCTGGGGCCGGAACGAAGCATCTACACGGGCACATATTCCAGAACTGAAGACAGATGAGCCACAAGCACGAGACCAGAGAGGGGCACAAGCCTGGGGATTGGTGAGGGAAACAGTTACTCCTAGGCTTGTAGGGCATCCTCAGAATATGCTCCTTGTCAACGGAGGCAGTGAGACCACTCCCTGAGATTTCCCTTCTTGCTTTCTAGGGTTTTTAACTCCTTAACCTCTTCCCATAGACCAATTTCCCTTACCAGACTGCCCTTTTCTCTACCACGAACCTTCAGAGACCCTACCACCACTCTTTCCTTAGCTTACCATGAATCCCCCATTGCCATCTGTCTCTAACAGAGACATCCCCAGGTGCATGTTCACAGCAGGACGAGATGAATTTCCCAGTGGATAGTCACCTGGTTGAAGGGGAGTGGAAGAACATGAGGTCACGAGGTCACAGATGGGGTGACTGAATTCAAGGTGATTTTGGAAGAGGATGAGAAGGGGTCAGGATCAATTCAGGAACAAGGAGTGTGTGGGATATGGAGGTGAATAAGTGAGGTGTGATATCACTCATATGTGGAATCTAATTTTTTAAACTATATAAATGAACTTGTTTACAAAGCAGAAACAGACTCACAGACTTAGAAAACACATTTATGGTTACCAAAGGGGAAATGTGGGGTGGGGGATAAATTAGGAGCTTGAGATTAACATACACACACTATTAATATAAAATAGATAACCAACAAGGACCTACTGTATAGCACAGGGAACTCTACTCAACATTCTGTAATAACCTGTATCAGAAAAGAATCTGAAAAATGGATATATGTGTATGCATAACTGAACCATTTTGCTGTACACTTGAAAATAACACAGCATTGTAAATTAACTATAATCCAAAAAAAATTTTTTTTAAAGAAGTGAGATGTAAGGGATCAAAGTCACTAGTATATTAAGGTTAGGGGTTAGAAGAGTGAGGAATCTTCTTACCCAAGTGGCCCTTGGCACAGGGGGCACTGTGGGAGCCCCCTACAAGGCAGCGATAAACGTCCCCCCTTCGGTCACCTGAAGGCCCATCCCAGGGGGCACCCACCAGCATCCTGGGGGGAGGAAATGAATATAAGCACAGTGTGAATATGACACTTAAGATAGGCCAGAGGGAAAGGGCGTGGTGACGGCAAGTCTAGAGCCCCAGTCATTTCCAAAGAACCAGGTTAGTTTCTATTTCCATCCACCTTGCCTCCCCTTTCACAGCTCTACTCCAGTCCCAACCCCTTGGCCCCCTGATTTGCTCCTCACCATCGTCGTCCACCCCCAACATGTTGTAAGACACTGTATCCAAATTCAGTCTCTGGTGGGCCTAGAAATAGGCGTGGGCGATGCACATCCAGGTTAAAGGGGGAGCAGAGACCTGGGGGGTGGGGGTGGGGGGGGCAGGATCATAAGGTTAGCAGGAACCAGTCAGAAAGGCTAATGAGTGCACAGAGGAAAAGGCAGAGAGAAGCCGCAAAGGGAACATACTGATCTCAGCCTAATTCCCTTTGTCTTACAAGCTGCCCTGGACTCCATCAATGTCCTGCACTCAGAGCTCCAAGCAAGGATGATTTCCTTCCTGTGTTTGGGTAGAGATGTCTAAGCTGTGGCCCTCTGCCATGCTGTTGCACAGCTGTATTTCCATTCCTATCCTTGAAATCTCATTCACAGACATGCCTGGAAGAGGCAACTTCCTCTTTTCTATATCATTCCTCCTACACATCCTCCTCTCCAGGCCAAGTGAGGGTTGCCTTTCTGCAGCCCCAGAACAACTATTCTTTCCAAATTCTACCCAAACCCAGGACCATAGAGAGAACAAGAGGAGGTTAGAGAACACTGCATGTTTGGGTCTCTTCTGGTTTCTTCTTGACTCCCAGTATCATTGTTACTCTCTCACTCTTTCTCCAGTGTCTAGGTCTCTGGTTGATTCCAGCCCTGGAAACCTCAGTGGTAATTAACTGGGTGGAGCCACTTGCCTGCCTACACACACAGTTTGCCATCCATCCTTTCCAAGGGTCCCATCACTCCCAAAGTTTCTCACCATCTGCTTCCTAACTCATCCCCCTCCTGACGCCCCTTGCCTGCTTGCATTTCTTCCTTAACTCTCAGCCCACTCTGAAGACCCCCGCAATCATGTCCTGGCTGACTCTTCCCTCCCAACCCAAACTCGCTTAAAATCAGAGCTGGTATTTTAGGAAACAAAGATTACAGGGCACTGATGAGGAAAAATTCCAGGCCTCTTGTCCCTCCCATGCTTCTTTCCCTGAGACTTGCTCCTTCAAATAACCCTTCAGGCCACCCCACCACCACTTTCACCAATGGCTATTGCTCTGTCTCAAAACATGCTCATTTTCAGAAAGGTATTTTGTATGTGAGCCTTACTGCATCTGGGAAGCTGGCAGGGCTATACTACCAGTAACTGTAGCTCATTGGTTAGATAAACGCAGAGTTCTGACCACAATGTTAGTTATTCCTCAGGAGCCCACAGACCACCAAGGATAGGGAGAATTAGGGAGGGGTGGGGGCAGGTAACAGTAATCAGACTAGCCACGTGGAAGTTCACATCATGTTTCTTTTTGGTCAACTCCAAGGTTTAGGACAAAGTTTTATATAATTGGACATAAATATTACACAAGGCAGTGGACAGCTTCAGCCTTTGCCAGGCAGTCATATGTGTGGGCATAAGAATGCAAACCCATGCATGCATGCGCACACATGTACACACATACACACACACACACAACACAGAACCAGTTAACCTCACCAGCTAACTCCCAAAGAATTTTAACTGTAAAGGTCCCAAGGCCAAAAATCTGTGTATCTTCCATTCCCACCAGAAACCAAGAAGTTAACCTCCCTCACCTGTCAGGAACATCAGGGGCAAGAACAGGTGAGGGATGAGGGGGAATTCCATGCCTTGATGTTCTCTGTCCGTGTGAGAAGTCCTCTCTGCCTCTGTCCCTCTCCTTCTCTGTTTTCTTTACTTTCCCTCCCATCCTGCCCCCTCCCACCAGCAGCTAAAAATAAAGTTGGAAGGAATGGGAGGAGTGATGGTGGGGAACTGTGGGGAGCCCTAGCCCAAGGAAAGGAGGAATGAGCGATTTTAGTGTATTTCTCTGCCTTGGTGCTGCCCCCTGGAGGCATCATTTCAGTTTCCAAAGAGAACCTAACTCTTGACTTTGTCATTTCTTTTTTTACAAAGATTTGGAAATCTAAATGGAGGGTTAATTCAGCTTATATCAAATAACACTATCAATATTTCACTGATTTTTTTTCCACTGATTTTTTAATTTTTTTAAATTTTTTTTTTAATCAGCCATGGATTTACATTTGCTCCCCATCCCCATCCCCCCTCCCACCTCCCTCTCTGCCCGATCCCTCTGGGTCTTCCCAGTGCACCAGGTCCGAGCACTTGTCTCATGCATCCAGCCTGGGCTGGTGATCTGTTTCACCCTAGATAATATACATGTTTCAATGCTGTTCTCTCAAAACATCCCACCCTCGCCTTCTCCCACAGAGTCCAAAAGACGGTTCTATACATCTGTGTCTCTTTTTCTGTTTTGCATTGTCATTTCTTTCTATTCCTTTTTTTCTGTCCTTTGTTGTTTGAAGCAATAATGCTTTCCCCGAGTTTGGAATAGAAGATAGGAGTGGGAAATAGATTCTTTTTACATCCTAACCTTACTTATCTCAATCTGGAATATGGAAAATTAAAGAGTTGATAACAGTGATATCATTTCCCCACCTACTCAAAGAGTCCTAACAAGTGAAGACACAGCCCACCCACAAACCAAGACTCACCCACTCCACTTAGTTCTGCTTGTGACTCTTAGCCTATGCTACCTATGGTATTATAGCTTTTGGAGGAAATATAAACCATAAATTGGTATGGGGTATGTTTTGTGGAACCAGTATAATTACTTTACCATTATACCCTCATCTCCTCAGCTAGGTTATAAACTTCTGCCGTTGGGACCATGGTGCCTCTTAGCTTTTATATCTCTACCACTTAGTATTATGGCCTACATACTGTAGACACTCAATAAAAGTCTGCAGGTAATGATGCCAGTGGCTAATCCCATGGAAAACCCAAACCAAAGTAACAGAAATAGGGGCCTCAGATGACCAGAACACACAGGACCAGACCAAATATCAATGAGCAAATTGATCTTTAATCTGCTAACCTGGAAGGCTTGCTCTCCATCATGGGCTTGGGCCTCAGCTATTTACACAGAATCATTGTACAATATTTACAAGATGCTAGACATAGCATCATTCTATATAGGCAAAGAAGGGGTATGGAAAGGCTAGAACAAAACCATGAAATCAAAGTGTAAGCAGAAACTTGCAGGTGTGAGTGGAAAGAAGGGGAATGGCAAATCATGAGGGAGGATAGTGAAGTAGACATGAGTGAGGAAAAGGAAGCATGAAACTACTTCTGGTGCAGGTGGGAAGAGTCCACTGGGACACAAAGCCTTTAAAATTATGATCTGGAGTCTGGAGGCAAAAATAACTGCCACAAGTCACTTTTGTGAGGAAAAGGAAGAAGGCAATTAGAACCTTACAGACCATACCTTCTACTTCCCATACCAAAAAGTAATTCTGCTGATTAAATTCCTATGACAGGGAGCTGAGAAGGTACAAAAGGGATACAGAGACAGAATCTTAAACAGATTTAAGAGACAGTATAAAGAGTCAGGGGAGATACAGACAATGCAATGAAGGAGGAAAAGAACAAAAGCTCCAACAGATCTGAACATGTGAATCATCCAGTTGATTTCACAAATCACCTTTCCTCATCCCATCTTCCCCAAAGTTCCTTCCTTTTATTCTCAACTCTCTGGGTTTTAACTTTAACCAAGGAGTGGAGTTAGAATGAGTCTGGGACAGAGGGACGATCTATAAAATTCCATCTCACCAATTCAGGTCCCCTCCTTATCCTGTACCAGCATATCAGGGCTTGAGTCGTAGCCAAGGGCAGATTAGGGTGAGAATAGACAGGATGGAGGACACGAGGCCACAAAGCCCCACAATCCCAGGGCCACAGCGCCAGAGGCCTAGTTTGTCCAGTGGGATGAAGAGATCACAGGCATTTCTGACCATATCCAGCAGGAGAGGGGGATGACCCCGAAGGACCCGAGCCAGCAGCAGGACCCGGAGCCGAAGCTTCAGAGCCACCTGGGGCAGACCTCCTCCTGGAGCCCCTGGACCCCCAGGTCCTCCAGTTTCAATTCCTCCTAGGACTCCTCCAGAACCCTTCAGTCGCCGACTACAAGCTGAAGACTCTTGTTCCATCAGTAGGCGGATCTCATAAGCATCACGGCTCAAATTCATGATGAGGGAAAACAGATAGTACCTGGGATACACAGAGAAGAAGGGTCAGGACAGGTACATATACCCACCTAGCAAATCCAACAGAACACTTAAACTGTTTTCCCTCATAGTGCAAACAGATTATACATTAGAATATCAGAAGTGAATGTTATTACTCACTATTAGAAACATCCTTCCACCTTTCTGTAACTAATGTGTTTATGTATGTGTACCTTAAGATCCTGGTTTAAAAGTAATGAGGATCATGAAACAGTCCAAGATTAACCTCGAATTTCACTTTTCCACTTGGCAACTCATTAGCACACATGCATTCAACCTGAACTACAATAATGCAACTTTAAAAAAAAAAAAAGAACAGCTTCAGTTGTTTCAAAGATTCACACACATAATTTAAATACAATCCTTTTGTTAAAAGGGGGGAAAAAAAGAAGCCAAGCTTGCCAAATGTGATAGATTGTAAATTCCTTAAGAACAGCCTACATTAAAAAATTTTTTTTAAATCCATTCTGAGAACAGTGGTCTGTATTCAGTTTAACTGTCCTACCTCTAATATATACCCTGAATCCAATCACATCTATCTATTATACTTAGACCATAGTCTAAGCCAGGGGTGCCCAATCCCTGGAACTGAGCAGTACAGCAGGAGGTAAGTCAGCGAAGCTTCATCTATATTTACAGCCTCTCCCTATTCTTACACCCCCTTGGTCTGTGGAAAAATTTTCCACAAAACTGGTTCCTGGTGCCAAGAAGGTTGGGGACCATTAGTCTAACCTACCATCATCTCTTGCTTGAACTGCTACCTTAGTCTTTTAACTGGTTTCCCCATGGTCACTCTTGCCCACCACACCTAACAATCTAATTTCATATAGCAGCTGGCATAAATGTAAATCACATTATACCCTTTCTTAAAACTCTCGATGGTTTCCTTCCTATCACATTTAGAATAAAATACTACAGAACTCAACAAGCGACTCTGCCTCTCTATCTTGTACTATTCTTTCCCTCAACCACTATGCTCCAACCACACTGGTTTCTTTTTATATTTTGATCCCATTCAGCTGATTCCTGCTTTAGGATCTTTACATTACCTAGTCCTTCAGTCGGGAATATTCTCCCTCAAAAATCTTCACATGGCTGGCTCTTCCTTGCACTTCATGTCTGAGCTTAAATGTCACCTCTTCAGAGAGGTCTTCTCTAACCTCCCATTCTAAAGTAGCAAGCCATTTACCATCTTATCACTTGACCTTATTTTAATTTCCTACATAGCATTTACCACTCTCTGATGTTATTCTTATTTACTGTGTCTTTGTCCCTTCCCATTACAATGTAAGCTCCATAGGAGGAAGGATCTTGTTTGTCTTTACCACTGCATCCTTGTGTCTAGGCTTATGCCTAGCACATAGTAAGAGCTAAATAAATATTTATGGAATGAAAGAGTAGACATGACATAGAAACTCTTCCAGGGAGTTGCTTTTCCATACCATTCAAGCCATGCCTCTGCCCCTACCTCTCACATACCATAAGCCTTGTTATAATTGTAAATCACTGAGAAAGATGAAAAGCAGGACATAAGCAGAGATGGAAAGAAGCAATATAATGTAAAATAACAAAGCGAATCATAGGGAAGCAAAAAAAATATATAGGTGATATACAGACAGAAAATTTTATTCTCAAATCATATTCCTTTCCACCTTCACTACCAGCCTGCTCTTTAATCCAAGCCAACACCATTTCATTAGAGAATCTTCTCCTCTTTAGTTCTACTGCAATCCATTTTCCACAGTACAGAAAGAGAGATCTTCTAAATGCAATTTGAATCATGTTACATCCCTTCTCAGAACCACTGGACTTGGGATACAATTTAAACAAAACTAAATGAAAAAAATCCTATCATTACCTAGACGGGCTTGCATGAATGATCTGGCCCTGGTCTACCTCTCCAGTTTGAACTTATGTCCCTGGCTTTAGTCAACCACACTGGCTTTCTTTCTACCTCTCTAATTCTAAGAAGTCTTTCTTGCTTCAAGGTCTTAGAATGAGTTATTTTCTGTTTCTTCTTTCTACTGCTTGCTTTGTATAACTTCTACTCAGACTTCAGATCTGAAACAAAATTTAATTTTCTTAAAGGGTTCTCTTTTTCCTGACCTTTCTATCTAGATTAGCTCCCCCTGTTATAAAGCTCTAACATCCTATGTATGTGCTAAGTCGCTTCAGTTGTGTCTGACTCTGACCCTATGGACTGTATCTCGCCAGGTTCCTCTGTCAATGGAATCTTCCAGGCAAGAATACTGGAGTGGGCTGCCATGCCCTCCTCCAGGGGCTAACATCCTATACTTTCCCACAAATATTCAGTTTGGTGATTATTTGTTTTAATATCGGACTCCCCTACTAAACTAGAAGCTTCATGAGAGCAGGAACCATATCTACTTAGCTCTTTGCTTTATTCCCTAGCTCACAGTAAGCAGCTACTAAGTATTTTTAGAATGAATGTGTAGACAGTGAAGGGCATAAATCTGTGGTATAGACAGAAGAAGAATTAAAGCAATATAATTAATATTTAGTCTTGCCCAGTCTTAGTCATTCATCATGAAAGAGCATCTGTCTTCCACCTGCCCCCATTCATTCTTCTCTGATGGTTTAAGATCTAAATGAAGGTTGAAGCCAAGTGATTAAGGATTGTTCTCTCATGAAAGGCAAGGTAGGCAGTATGAAGAATACAATAGACCTTGTAGGATAAAAGAATATCAAACCTGAAAGAACGCTGGGCCCACTTCTCCTGATCCACACGGGGAGCGAGTCCAGACTTCCCAGCCCATAGGACATTGTCACAGGCGAAGTACAAGGCTCTATTGAGATGACTAACAGTGATGCAGAATCTCAGGACAACATCTGATAGGTGCACAGCTCGTTTGGCTGACTCAAGGGCATCTGCTGAGTTACCGAGGCGTAGAACTTGTGGGGAACAGCAACAGAAAGCA